CACCTGTTTGTCCACTTCTCTCTGCTAACAGAGTTGTAAGACTAAGAAAAATCTGAGGACAAAAGAGCTTCCCAGCAATGATTCTATTTTACTATTTTTAAACATAAGGTTTCTGTACTAGTTTCATCAGCTGACTATTCATCAATGAATAGCCAAAACCCAACATCTTTTCAAAATGTAAACAGGAATCAATGAGCTTTTGTTTTCTTCTTTGATTTGTTTTGTTTTGTGATTGTTGTTGTCGTTGTTGCTTTTGTTTGGTCAAAGCCTTGCCAAGTAGCCAAGAAACTCAAGCTAGCCTCCTTTTCAGGGCAGTCCTTGCCTCAACCTTCAAAGCACTGAGATCACAGACGCCTGCTACCATGCCTGATGTGGATCTTTATTTGAGCAGATGCCTGGGTAAGGATTCCTTGGACCTTTGAAGACTACTTTTAAAAGTAGCTTCCCTGGTACTATTGTTTTCAAGTTTCAGTAAGCAAACACCTCCCACGTGGCATGTGGCTTTCCGAGCGTTCTTCTGAGTTGGCTGAGTGTAGCTCTCACGGCCTGGATTTAGGGTATGAAATGATTACCCTGAAGATGGTGTAGCAGTCAGGGGACAGAGGCCAGTAGTGGCTGGAAAGGCTGCCCTGGATCTCAGATGGAATAGACCTGCACACTTCTGTATGTTTGTCAATGGAAGAATCCAATACTCCACACCCAGAGAGATGCCAGGATTTTAATTCTGGCTCTGCCATCTTGAATAAATTTTTACCTATGAGAACCTCATTTTTCTGTGAGGAAGTGATAATGTATTTATCTCCCAGGGATACTGGCACAAAAAAAGTTCTTAGTACACAGACTTGTTGTCATTTCTTAAAGTAAGTTAGTTCTCCTCTATATATATTTCAAGACCCCCAACTTTCCCCCAAGCCAAATATCCTCAAGGTTCAACCCCAGGATTGGTGACTCATCTCTGTGAGCTCAGCCCTGAGTTGTCTACTGTGCATACATTGTCCAGGATGCTGTGACCAAACTCCTCCATGGAAAAAAGAAATCCAGAAAAATATCAGAGCTGCATAAGTGGTAAGCAAGACACTATCTTCATCGTCAATATTTCCAACCCGCCATAGCACTTCACAGTCTCTTTGTGACCACACACTTTAAAAATCTCCCTTCAGCTCTCTAGCAACTCAGATGAAACATTTAAAGTCTTTACATCCATAGTTCTTATTTACACAGAGTTAAAAAGTATGCAGTAGACTGTGTGACCAGCTTACTTATTGTTAGAAAATATTTTCTCTTGCCTCAAAAGCCTTTACTTTTTCCTTCCCTGAAATCACTCAACATGAGAGGACGTCTTTTAATTTTTTTTAAGTTTTACTTGGATTCTTTCCTAAATTGTATGTGATGCACCAATAACTGGAACCTGTTCATTTTCTATTTATGCAAATAAATCAGGAAAGGCAGGTTACAGATCGGAAAGAAGATTTAAGTAAGGTAGAACAAAGCCCTTATAATTCTATCCAAAAGGCAGAGTTATATGCTATTTTCATGGTATTAAGGGATTTTAAAGAACCTCTCAATATAGTTACCGATTCGCAATATGCAGAAAGAGTCTTGCATATTAAAACTGCTGAATTTATACCAGATGATAAAAAATTGACTTCATTATTCATTCAGGTTCAAGATATAATCCACAGAGGTGACAATCATACAGGTGTTAAGGAAACCTTGTAAGGGTTGGGGCAGGATTCTGTTCTTATTTTTGTAGGAAAATACTCATCTTCAAACAGTCAAGAGCCCCTGGATGTTTGGATGCCTAAAGAGGAAAAGATAACTATCCAGAAAGGATCCCTGGATAAAGAGGAATATGGTTTATGAGGACAGGTCATCTGCAGAGTAAAATTTTGTTCTCTGTACATATATATTTATGTCTACGGACCAGTAGAATTATACTCTCACTTAAAAATCAAAGCTGGCTTTGGAGTTTAGACAATGGCTGTTATTCTCTAAATCCAAGCATGTTGTTAAGAGAAAAATTCAGAGTTTCTGTCTCATGTCAGGAGCTACCTGGTATGGGATAGAAAGAAGAAAAAATTTAGGAAAAGTTTTACTTTTCTCCATACCTATTTTGTCTATATTGTATCTTTCATTAAATATTTGTCTATATGAATAATATTTAAGTTTTCTACAATGAACAGTAGGTTTTCCTGCATCTTTGAAGTTTCCAGGAAGAAGATGGGGCCCCACAACAATGGCTCTACCTGGTTGATAGGACGTCATGATGTTGATAGTGCTACTTTAAGACTGGTTTGGGGTACCAGCTGCTCAAGATGGGCATTTCTCGTGAAAAATCAAATTGTAACTTTTATGTAGGTCTCTCCTGTCTGGTTCATGACAGCACACATCTGAATCGAGCTGCTGGGCCAGGGAGTACAAACCTTGCTTCCAACACAGACAAGGCTCCATCCGGTGACGGAGAGCTAAGACCAGAGTTGGGTAGGGCTAGGTCTGAAGGCCAGTTCTTAGGTTTACACCTCGGTCTCCTGTCTGTGCAGTGTGGCTAATAAAAAGATCTGTGTTAGGCTCGCAGGACTTGGGGGGGTCTTGGGAGGGAGGGCACTTGACTGGGCCACAATAATACTGCTCCACCAAGATCTCTAGAGGGTGCCATTATTAGACCCCACAGGAGGCAGACCTGGAGCTGGTCTCATTCCCGCGCCCCCCCCCCCCACCTCACATCAAGTGGAGCCCCCTGATGGGAAACAGTGATTCCAAATCCTCCAAACTTTTTGGGCTGCACCGTGCAGAGCAGCCTTCCCCCCCTCCCCCCGTTTCAATGGCACCTTTAAAGACTGACTCAGGCGGTTGGTTGACGTATCATGATCACGTCTGGAGGTTAAACAGCCATGCATCTATGAATGCTCATCGCGCAGTTAAATATTCTTGAATTTTCCTGTGCCCTCAGAACATATTCTATGTGTTTAATGGTCCCTCGGGGAGCACCAGGTGCTTTGGTCCTGCAGACAGGGCCAGTTGTGTCAAACCTCTGCATCTGTCAGGGTTCTCTGTGTGACGAATAATTGCCTGATTTCCATTTGAAAGTGCAGCCCTGACATTGAGGCCACCGAAACCCACCAGGGATAAGAATGGCTTCCTGACACCTCCGAGAGAGACGTGAGTGGGAAGAAGAAGCACGTGTTCCCCAAATGAACGCTTGCCTTCCTAGGGGCCAGGCCTGACTGTACAGCTGCAGATGAGTGGCTCCCGGGGAACAAACCAAACGGAATAAAGAAAACGAAAGCCACGGATTAGCACGAGTCTGTCGCAGCCAGATGGTCCTCTGCGGAGGACAAGTTCCTCCGCTTGCTTTCTCGGGCTCTCTGCGGAAAGGATAGACGACAATGATCTCACCCCTCAGCCAGGCAACCAGCGAGTGGCTCCTTTCCTTTCTCACACAACTTGAGCTGAAGGAAAAGTTGGAAGTGAAAGAAAAAGACTAAGAAGGGACAGGGAAGCCTGGGAAGAATGAATAAGTCTTAGCTCAGGAGACAGATAAGACACCAAGCCTGACTGGAGTTTCAGGAATTGGCATCGACTGGGCACAAAGAGAGCCCTTGGAGGAGAAAGCAACAGACAGGGGCCCCAGCAGACTGCCCTCTCCTCCTCAATGCCCGAGAACTTCGCCTCTACCATCCAGGACTGTCGTGGTATGCAGGACAGTGGGAGCAGGGGTGTTGTGGCTCTTAGAAATCTGGGTTTGAGTTCCATGCCCCTGCAGTGGAGAGTGTTTTCAACCTTGTATTTAGGAAACTGTCACCTCCCTCTGTGGCTAGAGGCCAATGAGTCTGTCAGTCTTCGGTCTGAGGACCAGCCATCTGCCGCCATCTGGATAGTCCATGCCTGGGAGAGGTGCCCTGAAGTGGTAGAAGCTAAGAGGGGTCTGAACAAGGCAAGGTTATGGGGTAAAATGATCCTGCCAAGCTGTAGCTGTAGCAGAAAGTTCCCTGGAACCTTCTGCTCTGGGAAGGGTTCGACCTAGAGTCATGCTGTCCAGCAAGCAAATCATTCATGGCTCATCAGCAAGTCTCTCATCGGAGTGACAGCCCGGGTCTGCTGGTGGCCATGAGGCAGACTACCAGATGCTTGCATGAGAACACAGCATGTACGTACAGGTGTGTGCAGGGACATAGACCTTCCATGAGCTAATTGGTTCAGTAAGAGTTCATACCACTCCTGGATTCTGGGGCCTCAACCCGCAGAAGATTCCAGACCAAATGAAGGTGCACTGGAGGTGTGAGAAGCCCTGTGAGTCTTTCATCAGCCTGGCCAAGCTTCCCAAGTGTGGTGGATTGAATGAGAATGGCCCTCCTTCCCCATGTGCCAGTGATGGACTAGTACATCTCTGGTACTGGAAACCCCAAATAAACCCTCCCTTCTATAAGTCGCCTTGGTCATGGTGTTTTAACAAAGAATAGAAAGGTAATAACACACCCAACACTGGGAAGATCGTCTCTAGCAGTGTTTAATAGGATAAATGGCGGCTCCAGGGTGACGTGTGGAGCATCCGGAAAGTAAAATGACTTCGTTTCACTGGCCCAGTGCCTTCCCCAGCCCAGCTGTCTTAGTGGGTAACAGTTTAGAAACTGCAGGGTCTGGGCCTCTCTTCTCCAGCTTCTCTTCCTTTCCCCTCCCGCTTCCAGTTAAATGGCATGCTGGAACCCAAGATCAGGGTGTCCTTTGAAGATGGACCCTAGGACACCAATTCAGAGGCAGAGATTGGGAAGCCATGGAGCTGAGAGCAAGCAACCAGAAACAGACACAGGCCAAGTCAATATCTAGAACAGATACACCTCCAGCCCGTTTGTGGCTGGCTGTGACCCATTTCTACAAAGCATTTTCCAAACCTCGCAGAAAGAGATGCAGTCGGAAACATTTTGGACTTCCAAATTATTCTAAGTTAATTGTCTTCGCTGCCATTGATGAAAAGAAATGAGCCACATAGGTTCGCTTTTTTTCCTGATCACAAAACAACACAGAAGACAGACGGCTCGGGACCACTAGCAGGGAAACTTGTCTTGGTCTGATCTGGCGGTGGCTGGCCATTGGCTGCATCCGTGGAGTCTGGCCCTGCCACAGGGCTCCCAGCAGGTGTGACTTCGTCAGACACTGAAGCAAGACAGAAGTGTCAGTGGACAACGCTTCCAGCTGGTTTCCCTGCAGGGGGAAACTATTGGAGCCAGGCTCCTGGAAACACAATGTGGCCCCACTCAGTACAATAAGGTCTTCCCAGCTGCAATAGCTACACCCCCACTCCTCTCCATAATTTTGCTCTGCTATGCTGTGCTGAAAATGTCATCATAAGTCTTTACCTCTGCACCACTCACGTGCCCTTGCTGGCGTGTGACTGTCTATGTGCTCTGAACAGCAAGGCCACAGGGGATGGGGTGTTCAGTCCTGGGGCTGTGCACTGGGGTGTGTGGCCCTGCTTGCCTGTGACTACCATGGTATTTACTCTCTGGGTCTTGTGTTCATCTGTAAAATGGGAGAAACTAATAATTAAAGTGAGGACCTATATCAAGTGATTAACACAATGTCCCACATGGAGAGAAAACTCCAACAGCCAATTTGTCTACCTGTGGGAGGCCAGAGGGCAGGCTGGGGACACAGCAGCCTCTGGGATGTGAGCCAGGAGAGGACGGGGAGTGGGGTTAGAGAACTCTGGCTAGAGGAGGCGTCTCTCAGGCTCTCTCTACTCCCACTAAGTCATCTCCATTTTCTTTTCTATGATAATCATTGTTCTGGACGCACTTAAGTTTAAAAAGTCTCCTGTGTTGTACAGAGGCTCACATCCTTCTAACATCCTAGAAAGCAATCAGACAAATCTGCTCTCCCTCCCCAAATTTGTGAGTAGGCTTCTGTGGCCTGGGGTAGGGCTTCGCAAATCTGCCTCGTGGTCAGTTTTGTTTAAGATCTGAAGAGGATTAGGCAGGTTCCAACAGGGCCAGACTGTGACAAGCCTTGTTTGATAAAGTCTTCAGTGAATATGAGGTGAGTCAAAAGTCTGGGACTTCCAGACCTATCTCCAGTCATGTGCCCTCAGATCCAGAATTAAAGAAGACCCGAACAGGCAGAGCCTGCCTTGGGGCAGCTCAAGTAGGCAAGTTATGTCTAGAATTTAAAACGGAGAGTGTAAAGTGACAAGAAATCAAGGTCCATATAACTGTCAAATGCACACAACTTTTTTGCATATGGCATATTCTTATAGAACGTGGCCCAAGTGGCGTGGCTGAGTATAGGTTCCCCTAGTTAAAGTTCATCTGATAGTCTAGCATTCTCCTCTCCCCCAGTACTCGGCCTGCATGAAGGCAATGCTCAGCCACCAATTGTTACCTATTCAAGTCTTAGGGCTGACTGATTTTCTTTTGTTTTGTTTTGCTAATTTTATCATTCTTAATACCCCTTATTTCTTTCACTTTTAATTATGGAGTTTATTGAACTACTAGGTTTCTTGGAAATCTGATAATTATAATTTTAAAAGTGATTAAATTTTTCAGAAATGGACCGTGCAAGTTGAATGGTGAGAGAGTGTGTTTGAAAGGGCTTTGGTTCACTTTTATGCTAGTACCACAGTACAGAGATGCAGGACACAAACTCAATGGTGTTTGTTTGTTTGTTTGTTTGTTTGTTTTGTCGGTTTGCTACTGAAAACACTCGGGGTTTAGAAGATGGCTCAGTGGGGGAAGGTTGCTTAAGTGTGAGGATTAGAACTCGAATCCCCAGAAGCCCCATAGAAGCTGTAACGGTTGGTGGGTTTGACAGTTTCCCCATAATCCCAGCACAAAGGCATGAGAGGTGGAGACAGAGGATCTCGCAGCAAAATCTGGACTCTGAAACACCTGGCTTCACATTTGGTGAGAGACCCTGCCTCAATATATAGAGGCAAAGACATCTGAGGCCAACCTCAGGCCTCCGTACCTGCGTTCTCTCTCTCTCTCTCTCTCTCTCTCTCTCTCTCTCTTTCTCTCTCTCTCTCTCTCTCTCTCACACACACACACACACACACACACAGCACCCTCCTTACCACCATCTTCCAAATCAGCATGTGTGTCCGTGGGTACATGTGAGGAAAGAAAGACATGGGTTTGGGAAGAGTCTTAGTTGTACAGCAGTGTTCCTCTGTCCCATCCTCCATCATTGGCTTTGAGAAACTCCATCTGACTGTACGGAGATGGCAATGGCCACCATGGGAAAATGCCCAGGTCCCCTGAGGTTACCATGCCCCTTAGGAAGCAGGACCTTCCCAGATGCTTCCTGGGAACTCCAAGCTTTTTCATTGCTGCTGGAGGCCTTGCCACTGTCCTTCATGGACCAGGGGCAACCCAAGAGACAAAAATGCCTTGACCTAGAGCCTATGAGGCTTATGGCAGGCAACCCAAGACTGCTAGGAAGGAAGTGGCCATGGTGAGGGCAGTGTGTGAAAAGCGAAGAGATGGATCCCATTTGAGGACCCTGCACAGCACTGTGCTCTTTATCTGCATGGTGCTCCCTAGCTCAAGGGGCTCAGGGAGGAGGCTGGCCTCTGCCCAGAGGAAGAAATATGCCAGAAGAACCTGCCAGCAGAGAGGGTTGGAAGAGCAGTTGCTTACATATCTAAGTCAACAAATCCCAGTTTCTCTCTGGAAAGCACTGGGTTGGGGGGGGGGGGGTGTCTCTGCATGTGAGTGGCACAGACCAGTGCAGAGTTTCAGTCAGACCTGGAAGGTTTCTGCCCTGCCCTTGTGCCTCTCACTACGACGCCCCAACTCCCATCACAACACTTACTTCAAACACCAACAATAAAGAGGAATGGCAAAAATAACCTCTGAACTATGAGAATGGCATGATGGAAGGGAGGGAGGGACGGATGGAAGAAGGGAGGGAGGTTGTTTGTAGTAAAGGTGCCAGAGTCTAGAAATGGAGACCTGAACACCTATGAGCATTGGTCCTGGTGACTTAAGTCAGGGTTTCCTATAGTTTTTTATTAGACCCTTCCATCTCAGTGTCTCCACCTGGATAACAGCCTAAACCAACCTCAGCTCCCAGGGATGTTCAGCTGACCCGAAACTAGAACAAAAGGCCATGAAAGTCGATCTTAAAGTTCTGCGAACGGCCATCTCATTGTTGGAACCACAACACTTTTAAAGAGAGGGGCTATATTCTGTGTGTCCCCAAGAGTCACCTTGCATATCAGCTATGTGAACAAGAAGTTCCTGGGTTGAGAACTTTTCGTTTGGGGTGCTCTAGAGCAGCTGAAGATCAGCAAGTGTCAGACTGAACCCATTTCCTTGTCTTGCTTTCTTCAAAGGTAACAGGAATTGCCCCTGCTATAGAATTTCCTCTCAGACCAGCATTTTCCTCTTAATCAGGGCAGCAGCTGTAGGAGATGGATCAAGTCTGCTTTGCAGCACCAGGAACCTCACTGTTGGATTCTAGTTTCTATTTTGGGTACCACAAGCAAAACAGTGGCTTTTTGGTCCAATTCAGCACCAGGTTATTTTCCCCAAAGTCCCACTGTCTTGTTATCCTTCAAGTGAGTTATGATTTTTATCCCTCTTTCCAATTGGAAGGTTCTAGTGTGTGTGGAAAGCCTACTCAGGAGCCTCTGCTAGGGTGAAGAGGCAGGGGAAGCACTCAGAGTAATTTCCTAGCAGAGGAGCATCTGTGAGAAAGCTCATTGCTTGGATACACAAGTGCCATGGAAACTGATGCAGGTGAGAATTTGCCTAAGGATGTGAGCATCCAGGGAAAGATTGCTGAGCTGATCATTGCAGGTGTCCACTGCTTAGATGGTAGCAGCATCATGGAGGGTGGGATGCTGCCACGTGCACGGTATCAGCATTGTGGAGGGTGGGATGCTGTCACATGGATGGTAGCGGCATTGTGGAGGGTGGGATGCTACCACGTGGATGGTATCAGCATCATGGAGGGTGGAATGCTACCACGTGGATGGTAGCAGCATTGTGGAGGTTGGGATGCTACTTCATGGATGGTAGCAGCATCTTGGAGGGTGGGATGCTGCCACATTTGACACCTCTGCAGAGCTCAGTGAGGAACACCCGGCACCAAGGACAAGTCTTGTGGATGTGCTTACCTTTCTGATTGGTGACAACTGTAGGTCGCCCCATGATCTCATCCTCGGTGGCATTCAGATTCTGGACCAGAAAGTACGTGGTCATTTTGCCTTTCCCTTTCACTTCAATCTCTCCTCTCTTGACAATTTCAAACCCTTTGTTTTCCAGGGCTCTATATAGAGAAAAACAAAATGTGCCAAATAGCAAAGATCACAGACCAGTATTAGACCCACAGCAGAAGAGGGAGGATCTGAGGTGACATCCTTAAGAGCCTGTTAGGACATCAGGGTGAGGGACTCCATGGGGAAGGAGGGAGGCAGGAAGTGCCAGTGTTCTGATTAGGGTACCAAAGGCTGGGAGTGGCTACAGGGGACCCACACACCTTGTTTCTCCCTCACTGTTTGATCTTTACTCCCCAGCACCCTAGTTTTCTCTAAATCCTTGTTCAAGTTTCAGCTCGAGCATCTCCATAAAACCTTTCTAGATACAGACCCTTCCCAACCTCCCGCAGCCCATGCTCCAGTTCTACTGGTGGGGGAGTAGAATGGTCAGAGTGGAGTCTGCACATCACCCAGCTCTTCCTGGCCTTCTCGGAGCTGAAGCAAGCTGTTAGCTGTTTTTTCCTTTCTTTTGCTTCTAAGCCTCAATATCAGATTTCCCCCCTTACTCTACTTTTATTGAAAATATTTTTTTTCTACAATATATTCTGATCGAGGTTTCCCCTCCTTCATCTCCTACAAAACCATTCCCACCCATCCAACTCCAAGCCTTCTTTCTCTCCTTCTCTTTCTTTAGGAAACAGGGAAATTAAAACCAACAACAAAAAATTTGCCGGAATTCTTTTTTAAAGGTGTTTCGTTTAAATAAGAGTGGCATTGGTTTTTCTTCATGGAGCAGCTTAACAGCGAACGAGCTGACCTACAGGTATGAAGGAACCTAATCTAAGTGTGGCTTTTCCTAACCACTCGAGAAATAGTGCCATTTGGTGCACACTTTCATGTGTGTTCTATTTCAATCACAACCATGAATTCTCTTTCTTCCCCTACTAAACCAAGCCGACAAGATTTTTCTGGGAAAGACCAGAGAGTGACTGTTTCAGGCATTGTGAGGCACAGTCTCTGTCACGACTGCCTGACTCTGCCACTCACAGAGACATCAGTCATGGACGATGTGGAAAGAAAAGCAAATATCTTATATCAGAGAGACCTCACCGCTGAATTCTAGCTCTGCTTGGGTACCACAAACCAGTCACCCCATCATCCAGCTCAGCAGTGGGTGATTTTCCCAAAGTCCCACTTTCTTGTCCAATAAAACTATTTCCAAAACCAGGCAACAGTATGGATTTGGCCTGGGGGTTATAGAAAAAAAACAAGTTATGGCAGAGGCCCCTCCCCACTTCCTGTCTGTAAGCCAGTAAAACACGGGAGAAGAAACATCAACCTCTTTCCTGTCCTTTCCATACTGGGGGGGGGGGGGGGGCAGTCAGATGGTTTGGGGAAGCTGGAAGAACAGTGAAGCCAGGGGTAAACCGATGGCCAACCTGTAGGCCGTGGGGCTCAGATGCACTTTGTTGGGAAGCCCGTGACTTTCCATCCTAGAGGCTGTGTTGACAGTGTCACCAAACAAACAGTACCGAGGCATCTTGTCTCCCACAACACCTGCTAAGACTGGTCCCGTGTGGATTCCCACTCTGATCTGCGCAGAGAGAACATCACTGAGAAGAGAACTTTGAATCTTCTTGTCTTTACTCTGAAGGCACGGTTTAGTGAAGATGAAAACACACCTACCGAAGTGGTTAGCTCCACGAGGTTTGACAAATGCACATTGTGTTGCAATCACAAGGTGATACCTTGTGTTATAAAGTAAATACATATTTAATTTTTTGCCAAACCAAAACTGCCCCGAGTTTTCCAAGGTTGATTCTCCAGTTCTCCATTCATATCCGTAATGGTACACACCTCCGCTGAGCTCTGAGCTATCAGGGACATGCTAGGCATGCATTTGCCCAAGTAGAAATATCTGCTCAGCAAAGCCAAGTCACCTGAAGTGATGTTTGAGCCAAAAAAGCAGGAATTACAAACAAGGAGCCCTCAGCACCGTCCTATTGCAAAGAAGAGTATCCATGAGTCCCAGGAAAATCTCAGAACAAACAGCCTGCCCTGGAGCCTGGGGGAGCTGAGCCTTCTTCCAAGCTTTCCTGCTTAGGAGCATAAGCAAGAGAAGAAAGGACTTTGATAGAGGATGCAATGTCAACGGTGTCGCATACCCCAAGTCCACCCAAGCAGACCAGAGCTTTACTTTCGTGTGTTATATTTTGTCTCAAGTGAAGTGCTCCTTTGCTCCCTACCTGGATGGGCTCTCCAGTGACAGGATTCATCACTTCTTCTGCAGAAATTCTCATCCCCAAAGCAAAATTAGCGACTCTCTGGGCATGACACTCAACAGGCACTGGTACTCCGCCTACCACCATGTAAGCATCACCGATTGTTTCCACCTGCCAGGGCAAACATAGAATAAAATAAAATAAAGCGTTCAAAGTGTTCAGGGAGTTTCCTTCATGTCCCATCCAAACACCTGTATGTGCCTCTCATTGACAACAAGCTATTGATTCTTTGCTGGGGAAATGAGGAGTAGAAAGGAGAAGGAACACAAGGTGGCCAAGAGATCTTTCTGATTTTATTTTGTTTTACTTTTGGTACCAGGGATGGAACCCAGGATCTCACATGGCTAGGCAAGCTATATCCCCAACCTCCTTTCTGGTTTTAGTGAAAATGAGTCCCAGAGATGTAGTGTGGTTTTGTTTGTGTTTTAACAAATAAAGCTTGCCTGAAGATCAGAGGGCAGATCTAAGCCACTAGAGGCCAGAGAGTGGTGACACACACCTTTAATCCTAGGACTTTAGAGACAGAGGCAGAGGGATCTCTGTGAGTTCAAGGCCACCCTGGGTTACAGGAGATTGACTCTGTCTAAAAGAGAAACAGCTCACACAAAGGTGATCCCAGCATTTGGCATCACACAGCTTTGTTTAGAATTGTTTGTTTGAATTTGTTTAAGATATATATATTTTCTCTGCTCCCCATTTTTCCTCCCCCCTCACCTTCTACCTTCTCCCATGATCCCCATGCTCCCAATTTACTCAGAAGATCTTGTCTTTTTCTACTTCCCATGTACATTAGATCCATGTATGTCTCTTTTAGGGTCCTCCTTGTTGTCTAGGTTCTCTGGGGTTTTGAACTGTAGGCTGGTTTTTCTTTGCTTTATGTCTAAAAGCCACTTATGAGTGAGTACATATTATAATTGTCTTTCTGGGTCTGGGTTACCACACTCAATTTGGTGTTTTCTAGATCCATCTATTTGCCCACAAATTTCAAGATGTCATTATTTTTCTCTGCTGTGTAGTATTCCATCACATCAATATACCACATCTTCTTTATGCATGCTTTGGTGGAGGGGCATTTAGGTTGTTTCCAAGTTCTAATTATTATAAATAATACTGCTATGACCATAATTGGGCACATGTCCTTGTGGTATGATTGAGCATCATTTGGATATATACCCAAAAGTGGTATTGCTGGGTCTTGAGATAGATTGTTTCCTAATTTTCTGAGAAATCGCTATGCTGATTTCCAAAGCAGTTGTACCAGCTTGCACTCCCACCAGCAATGCAGAAGTGTTCCCTTTACCCAATATCCTCTCCAGCATAAGCTGTCATCAGTGTTTTTGATCTTGGCCATTCTTACAGGTATAAGAGAATCTCCAAGTTGTTTTGATTTGCATTTCTCTGATGGCTAAGGATGTTGAGCATTTTCTTAAGTATCTTTCAGCCATTTTAGATCCATCTGTTGAGAATTCTCTGTTTAGGTCCATTCCATAATTTTTATGGTATTATTTGTTCTTTTGATGACCAATTTCTTGAGTTCTTTGTATATTTTGGAGATCAGACCTCTGTCTAATGTGGGGTTAGTGAAGATTTTTTCCCATTCTGTAGGCTGTCATTTTGTCTTGTTGACTATGTCCTTTGCCTTACAGAAGCTTTTTAGTTTCAGGAGGTCCCATTTATTAATTGTTTCTCTCAGTGTCTGTGCTGCTGGGGTTATATTTAGGAAGTGGTCTCCTGTGACAGTGCATTCAAGTGTACTTCCTACTTTCTCTTCTGTGAGGTTCAGTGTGGTTGGTTTTATGTTGAGATTTTTGATCCATTTGGACTTGAGTTTTGTGCATAGTGATAGATATGGGTCTATGTTCATTCTTCTGCATGTTGATATCCAGTTATGACAGCACCATTTGTTGAATATGGTTTTTTCCATTTTATATTTTTTTCTTCTTTGTTAGAAAATCAAGTGTTTGTTGGTGTGTGGATTGATATCCAGGTCTTCAATTCAGTTCCATTGGTCCTCCTGTCTGTTCTTATGCCAATACCAGGCTGTTTCCAGTACTGTAGCTCTGCAGTAGAGTTTGAAGTCAGGGAGTATGATGCCTCCAGAAGTTCCTTTATTGTACAGAACTGTTTTGGCTGTCTTGGGTTTTTTGCTTTTTTAAATGAAACTGAGTAAATTTTTTTGAGGTTTGTGAAGAACTTTTCTGGGATTTTGCTGGGCATTGCATTGAATCTGTAGATTGCTTTTGGTAATATTTTTATTTTTACTATGTTAATTCTAACCTACCCAAGAGCATGGGAGATCTTTCCATTTTCTGGGTCTTCTTCAGTTTCTTTTTCCAAAGATTTAAATTTAATGCCAACACTAGGGATATAGAGACAGGAAGGGCAGAGAGGGGAATATAAGGTGGGAGGAGACAGGAGCTAGGTGCACTCTGAGGATGAAGTCTGAGAAGACAGTCTGAGGACAGGATCATCCCTTGTGTCTGAGCATTGGTAGAGGTAAAATATCTCTCTAGTGGCTGGCTGCACTGCTTCTCTGATCTGTCAGCTTTCACCCCAATATCTGACTCCAGGTTTTATTTATTAAGATCAATTAAAATTCATGCCACACAGAGAAGATGAAGTTCTTAGGTAGTCACATGATGTTCTATATCAGATGATGAATTATGTGGCTGAAACTCTGCTGAGCAGGAGACCGATGCCTGGGACAGTGATGATTGCTGCCCCTGGGTACCAAAGCACTGCCTGAGCATGGGCATTCTAACAGGATTCCTATGCACTTCTCAATCCCTGAATGCCTCTCCTCCTCAGACTGGTATAGATGCAGGAAGGGAAGACAGGCTCAAGTGCTTCCCTCCTGGCCTGATTTCAGAAGCAAGCAAGCACGCGCACACACACACACACACACACACACACACACACACACACACACACTTACTTTGTAGACCTCGTGAACACTGGTTAGCCTGTCAAACTTGGAGTACATTATGTTCAGCATGTTCACTATTTGGATAGGTTCACAGGCCGCACAGATGTTGGTAAATGTTACCACATCACTGAAAAGGATTGTGCACGTTTCAAATTCTCCTGCAACAGAAATGAGGTCAGCGGTAGCCAAAGATCCAGAATAATAATTCTACGAATTTTTAATCCAATGTCTTTTGAAGACCAAGCCTGCCTGGCCCCTCAGGGAAAGCAGCTGACGTCATCTCCTCTTCCCCATCTAGTCAACAGATATGAGCACATACATTGGGTCCCTACTGTGAGACAGCCTTTGTTCCACAAGAGTCATATTGCATGAAATAAGCAGAAGGAGCCCTGGGTCTTAGGGAGTTCCCCAGCTAGTGCTGGAGGCAGGAATTTGAGTCAGCAAATGCTCCCCTGAGACGTGAAAGTGCTGTGGATTGAGAGAAATGGCCCCTTTGATCCAAAAGCGGAGCCTGAACTACAGAGATGCCAGTATTGGGTCTGGAGGAGTCTGTCTTGGCACAGTGGCATAGCTGCCACATTCTCCTATTTCTCTCTCTCTCTCTTCTACCCTGGCTTCCATTTACACTAATATCCACATGGCAGACAATGATCTTGCTAATTAAGAGTCACTTATTTATCCTTGGTATATCTACAAATGGGAGCATTCTCCGTCTGTGCCGCCTCTGACCTTATGTCCCCACGCCTCCTGGTTTACATGGGTTATCTCAGCCCAGGGAGCGCCTCCTGCCTTGGAGCCTGCACATCTGCTGTCTCCTTGCATGATGTACACTTTTCATCTCAGTGAGAACTAGGGTAGAGACTTACTGCTATCTGCTGCGTGCTAGCTAGTGTGTACTAAGTCGACTGCCGAACCCCGGAACACAGTGGGGAGTGGGGGAGCTTCAGCATGGTTTATCCGTGTGGCACTGGTCTCCCTTCACGTGACTCTACTGATCACGCTTCTGTTCTTCTCAGCCTTCTCCCTTTTTATTTTTTTAACTTTTTTTCTTGTTCATTGTAGCCATTTTTTTGAGTCCTAGTTTGCCGTCATGAAATAGTGACTAAAACCAGCGTGGGAAGAAAGGGTTGCTTCCTCATACAAGTCCCAGTTAGCAAGCGATCACGAGGAAAGCTGAGGCAGGCATGGAAGCAGGAACTGAAGCAGAGACCATGGAGGAACTGCTTGCCCACTTGCTTCCAGGCTCATGTTGAGCAACCTTTGTGATACAACTTAGGACCCATGCTCAGAGGTGACACCACCCACAGGGAGCTAGGCCACCCTCTATCATCCAAGAAAGAAAACACCCCACAGCCATGCCACGAGCCAATCTGATGGAGGCAATTCACCCTCCATCAATCAGCAATCAAGAAAACACCCCACAGACATGCCACGAGCCAATCTGATGGAGGCAATTCCTCAACTGAGGTTCTCTCCTCCCAGATGACTCTAGCTTGTATCAGCTTGACAGAAACTAACCAGATGATCTTACGTCATCCACAGAGCCTAATAGATTCTAGACCTATGTTCTATGCTAGAACTTTCCCTCCAGGTCTGTCTATAATTCTAACACTTGCTGCTCTCGTTAGGTGAAGTCCTGCAGCAATCTCACTCTCGACATTTCTAAACCGACCTGACTGCCATTGCCTCAGGCCTGATGTTCTTTCTGGCATGTGTGCGTGTGTGTGTGTGTGTGTGTGTGTGTGTGTGTGTGTGTGTGTGTGTGAGTGTGTGTGTGTGTGTGTGTGTGCTGCATAGACATGAGAGTTCATATACCTGAGCCCACAGAAGAAGGAATGTATACCTTCCTCTCTGCTCCCTGACTAACTCTGTCTTGAAACAAGGTCGCTTACTGAGCCAGAAGCTCGCCTTTTTAGCTAGGCTGGCTGGCCAGCAAGCTCTTGCATCTACCTGTCTCTGCCTCCTCCAACCCCAATGCTGGGGTTTTAGGTACATGCAGCCATACCCCGCTTTTCATGTGGATGCTCACAATTTGAACTCCGCTTCTCTCACTGTATCAAGCTTCTGTGTGCTCACGTGTTGCTTTTTGTGGAGGTAATGGGGATTTGAACTCAGATCTTCGTGTTTGTAGAACAAGTGGCCTTATCTCCTGAGCCTTATTCCCAACTCCTTATTCCAACTTGCAATAAATTATAACATGTTTTGATGTTATGACAACCTCAGAGCCCTCACCTCTTACCCTCGGGATAAAATCTTGCTGGTCCCCCCTCACCCAGCCTCAGCCCAGGCCTTGCTCATGTGTGATGAGCTCCCAGTCTTCCCTCCCTTCCTCACTACATCACAGTCAAACCTGGCATATGTTAAACGAGCCATGCCACCTCTACTATAAGGAAAAGGAACTTGGGAGTAGGGAGATGGCTAAGAGGGTAAGGTGACTTACTGTGTGAGCAGGAAGGCCTGAGTTCAAATCCCCAACACCCACATGAAAAGCCTGTCCGAAAGTCTGAATGTGGCGAGGGGTAGATAATGGAGGATTTCTGAGGCTTGCTCTAGTGTCAGCGAGAGGCCTTGTCTCAAAGGAATAAGACAGAAAGGAGTAGAAAGAGGTAGGCATCTCTGAACTCCATGTGTGAAAAGGCATATACACTACCACACACACATGTCTATATACCCCCCCACACCAGTGAGTCTTTACTGTCTATACAATAACAAACATTTTCTATAAGAACCCAGAATCATTATTACACCCCCAGAGTCTCCTTGTCCATGCCCTGCTCTGGAAACAATCCACACTCCACTCTTGTGTTATCTTTTAGTATCTTTAGTATAGAGAAGAGAAATAAAGATGTGGGTTAACCACTAAGCCCAAGATGATGCCGTTTCTAAATGATAAAGCCACAAGTCAAGCCCAGATCTGCCTAGGTTCAGAGTCCACACCCCTTAGCATGAGCATGATCCTCCCTAGGGTACCTTACCTGCAGCCACCTTCTTGCCCTCCTTGAGCTGGTTGGCCACGTGTTCAGGCAGCATGGCATACAGCAAGGTCTCTGTCTTCTTCTTTTCAATGGCCAGGTGCTTGGAGAGGACTCGCAACTCCTCCTTCTTCTTCTCCAGCTGGCGGGACAACTCCATCTCTGCCAGCCTCTGCTGGTTGAGGAGGATGAGATCCCTGGTGGTGTCGTGGGGAGCGATGTCAGAGAGATGCATCTTGCTCTCCTCCAGCTCTTGCAGACTGCGGAGCTTTGGAGAACACACGAAGATCATGCAGCGCAGAGAGTCCATCCAGATCATCTGACCTGCCCATCACAGAGAGGAATGTACCAGTAGAGATTGTCCGACAGGGAACAGGAGGCCAGCATCACCCGTGCCACGTGCCCTTTAGCCTCTGCAGTCTGCTCCCTCCTTCTTAGCCATGTGTCATGAGAATCGTCTGGACTTCCGTCTCCACTCTCATCTGTCGCTCTCTGCACAGTTCTGTGACTGTTGTTCTGAGCGTGAGGTGCCAACACCAGCTGCTATGTCTTCACTCTTCTCTGCTCTTCTACTGTCTTAAGGTGTTGACCTAACCAACCTTCTTTCTCCTGAAGCTTTTTACCACTGATTTCTCTCTGGACTTTTCCTACTTATTTGAAGTTTTTCTTTAGTCTGTGTCTATCTGTGTCTAGCCTCCCCCGCTTTCTCTCACTTTCTTAAATGTTGCATTGCCTAAGATTTTGAGTTCAGCTTCTCTCTCTCTCTCTCTCTCTCTCTCTCTCTCTCTCTCTCTCTGTGTGTGTGTGTGTGTGTGTGTGTGTGTTTGCATGTGTGTGTGTTTATTTCTTTAAAAAATTTTATTTGTATGTAGGTATGTGTTTATGTTCCCAACTTGAGTGTAGATGTGTCGGATGCCCTGGAACCAGAGCTACAGCCAATTGTGGACCTCTGATGTGGGTCCTGGGAACTGAACTCGGGCCCTCTACAAGATCAAGTGCTCTTAACCATTGGATCATCCCTCCATCTCATTCATTCATTCATTCATTCATGTATTTTTGATGTCAGGATATCACTTGTAACCTGGGCTAATCTTGTACTCATGGCAATCCCCCTGTCTAACCCTCCCAAGTGCTGATATTATATGTATGAGCCACCACACCTGTCTGGGTTTTCTCTTTTAACATTATCCAGCTTTATCCTATACCAAAATGACAATAAATCTGAGTCTCCTAAGAAACCTTGCTTTCCAGACTCAAATTGTGCATTTCTTTAAGAATATATATGATTATTAATGTATATCAAAAGCAGTAACCATTCATTACAGAAAAGAAAAAAAACATAAGAGATAGTGAATGTCATCTATAATAATCATATTGCAGATACATATTGGCTCTTAATATTCTGAATTACCCAAAGAGGCACCATCTGATATCTATTTGCAATCTGAATTTTCACATAACACATATTTCCCTGTGGTATTTGGTACAGATATACAGCACAACTTTTGCTGACTATATTGGTCATGGTGTTTTATTTAAATTACAAGCCAGCAATGATTACATTGTATCTAGTGTATCTTTCTATAAACAATACTTCTATGAACAAACTTGAGACCTCTTTGTGTTTACCTGTGCCTGTTTTGTTAAAGGATACACCCATGCATATGGTATTGCTTAGACAAAAACATGCTGTTTCTTGAAGTTCTAGATACTCATCTCCAGTTGCCCTCTGTGATGGCGTGGCAGCTATGTTGGTTTGTTTCCTCTCTCCCCATTAGATGCTTGTTTGCAGATGTCTGCATCTCGCTTCCCAGCATCCCTACAAATGCTCTATATCATGGAGTCTTTTGTCACTTAAATATTAAGTACCAACCATTGACCTGGCACATGGTGGCATGAACTGACAAAATTCCTGTCCTCAAGGATTTTAGTCCTTGCCATTTCTCAGTTCCCCACACCTTCCTTACCAGTTTGGTAATAATTGTCCTAACTAGTCTCTCATAACACCTACCATGTCCTGCCTTATTATGTTGTGGTTGTGTCCTGAGAGTCATCCCTGGACTCCTCCCTAAGTTAATCTCATACCTAACCCTCTCACCTGCACCCCAGCAATGGCCGTCACCTGCCCGCCAGACTCCATTTCTCTAAACCATTATCCATTCTTTGACACACTTCTAGTCTCAAACCTCAAATAGTATCCACAAGAGACCTTTTAAAGTGTTCCCAACTGCGTGACAGAGGCCAGGTATCCATCTGGCTGCCTTTGTCTCCTATCACCGCACTTTACCATTCACTCAAATCTTCAGAACACCTTTTCCTGGGGTTTTTTCCTCAGCTCAGTTTGTACACATTTAACATAAATACAGATTGATCATCAGTCTAACGGGCAGCTCAAGGTGCCCCTGACAGCAGGTACAAAAATGTACTCACGGGACGAAGCCCTAAGCATAAGAGGAAAAGTATGAACTTCTTCGAAGACAACAGAGGAAAATGGCTTTGCTTGTGCCAATGGTTTTGTGGCTGTGACAGTAAAAACACAGCCAGAAAGAGTAATGCAGATGAATTAGACTACACTAAAATTTAAAGCTTCTGTACCTCAAGAAACACAAACAATAAACTCGTCCAACCCATAGGATGAGAGAACATATTTGTAAATCATCTGTCCAATAAGGAGTTAATAACTATAATGCATAAAGAACCACCTCTCTTACACACAGTAAAATATTGACAAAAGACTTGAATGAACATTTTGCCAAATACATGAAGAAATTCTAGGAGTGATGGTATTGGCATAACTCTAACCAGGCAAATGAAAGACTTGTATCATGAAAACTTCAAGACACTGAAAAAAGAAATTGAAGAGGACACCAGTAGCTGGAAAGATCTCCCATGCTAGTGGATTGGCAGGACTAATATTGCTATGATGGTTATCATACCATACTCATCTACATTTTCAATGCAATCCACATCAAAATTACAAAACAATTCTTCACAGAAATTGTAAAAAAACAGTTTTCAACTTCTTATGGAAACACCACCACCACCACCAACAACAAACTAACCAATTAACCAACTAACCAACCAACCAACCAACCAAACAACAACAACAACAAAAACCCACCCAAAATAGTTAAAACAACCCGGAACAATAGAATAAATGCTGGCGGTATCACCATCCCAGATTTCAGGTTGTACTATAAATCTATAGTAATAAAAATAGCTTGGTATTGAATAAAAGTAGACATGTCAGTCAATTGAATCAAATTGAAGGGCACCATATACTTAAGGGCACCTAGTTTTTTTTTTAACAAAGAAGCAAAATAAGCAAATAAGTAAACATTGGAAAAATGCAGCTTCTTTAACAAATGGCCAAACTGGATGGTATATACAGAAGAATGAAAGTAGCTCCATTCTATCACCTTGAACAAGTTCAACTCCAAATGGATCAAGGACCACAACATAAAACCAGATACTCCTACTCTGATAAATATGAAAGTGGGGGATAGATTTAAACTCATTGGCACTACTATTTCCGAATAGTAGTACATCATTAGCACAGGCACTAAGACCAACCATTAATAAATGGGACCCCATGGAGCTGAAAAACTTTTGTACATTAAAGGATTGTATAATTTGGGTAAAGCAGTGACCTATGCAATGGGAAAAGGTCATTATTACTAATTATACATCAGATAGAGAGTTTTAATCTAAAACATAAAACTGGACATCAAGAAAACAAATAACCCAATTTAAAAATGAGGTACAGAACTAAACAGAGAGTTCTCAAAAGATGAAACACAAATAACTGGGAAACACTTAAAGAAGTGTTCAGCATTCTTAGCCATCAGAAATACACAAACTAACACTACTTCCATTTTCAGCTTACCCCAGTCAGAATGGTCAAGATCAATAACCAAATGGCAGCATATACTGGCTAAGATGTGGCCAAAGCAGAACACTTACCCATCGCTAGTGGGAGTGAAGACTGGTACAGTGGCTGTGGAAATCAGTATGTCAGCCCCTCAGAAAACTGGGAATTGATCTACCTCAAGATCCAGCCGTACCACTCTTGGGCATCTAACTAAGGGACTCTACAGTCTACTACAGAGGTATTTGTTTATGTTCACTGCTGTTCTATTCTCAAGACCCAGAAATTGAAAACAGCCTTGGTGTCTATCAACTGATGAATGGATACTGAAAAATGTCACACATTTACACAATATACTATTATTCATAGATCATGAAATTGTCAGATGAATGGATGGAGCTAGAGAAGGGGAAACTAGAACAGAAGGATTAAATAGGGAGGGGGATTAGAGAGAACAGAAAAGGAAGGAATATGGGGAGGGATAAGTAACACTAAAGGACATTTGAAAAACCATGTGAAAATCTCCAACTATAGAAGCTTCCTAAATATATACAATATAAAAGGAATCTAAGTAGAGTAGACTAAATATTAGGTGAGACAATATGCCAAATAGACTTTTATGACACTCAATAAAAACCTCCAATGCCAGGGTTGAATCTTGTTGAGATGTATTGCCAAGGCTGTTGGTAACTCTCCACAATCTGATGGTGAGGCCCTACTGCTAAAGAAAGCACATGTGTCACCGAACATGGAGAAGTCCAGTTGATGCCTAACTAGAAGCTTCACCCCTAGTGACTAGGATTCATGGTTCTAGAGGGTACTCTGCATGATACAGGACTAAGGCAATCATCAATATCTTCCAGCTACAAGCTTTGCAAACTTCACCTGTGACCTACCTCCAATATATATGTTTCTGTGTAATAGTGGCACAAATGTTATAGGTGTAACCAACTACTTTGTGATTAGATTTAAGGCCCAGTCCTTGAGAAGGAACCCACTTCTGACACTGCTCAAATGGCCAAGAACCTTAGAACAGATAGGTCATGGGCATACTATTATTTTACTAAAGAAACGTGACAAAAATGACTTCTAATGATACACAACTATACCCATAGATCAGTGCCTCACTCAACCCACATCAAGAGAAGTTTCTTCTTGTAGCAAGTGGGAAACTAATGCAGAAATAGACAATGTGCAAAGAGTAAGAGACTTTAGATCACTCAGTTCTAAATTGAATGTCTTAATTAAGTCTCTCCCTTAAGTACTCAGGGGAAATAAAGAAGATGAGGAAGAAATATCCTAAGAGCCAGAAAGGATAGACAACACCAAGGAAACAGTTTCTTCCAGATGTCACAGGACCGATGCCCATATAAATTCACAGAGTCAGAGGGGATAGATGGCACCAAGGAAACAGTGTCTTCCAGATGCCACAGGACCAATGCCCATATGAACTCACAGAGACTGTGGAATGCACAGAACCTGCACAGGTGCAAGCTAGATGGGGACCCAGTGCTGAGAGGGGGATGCAAACATGATCCCCCACCTCTAACCAAGAAGTTATCCATAACTGATACGTGCTAACAAAGGAAAAATTAGTTTTCTCCAATGAAGTCTTACTGGTTATATTAACTACACTTCAGCATAGGATCTATCTTCAGGAGTAATTGGCCAACACAAAGCAAACTCGATGGTATTTTTGTAGTTTTTTTTTTTTTTTGTCTCATTTTACTTTGTTTGGGCATTTTGTGACTTTTTTATTTTTGCTTGCTTATTTTGCTTTCTGTTTGTGTGTGTGTTTCTTGGTTTTTCCTCTTTATTTCTATATTTTAAAGAGAGAGAGAACATGAAATTGGGTGGGTAGGTAGGAGGTGGAGGGGAGAAAAAAGATGGTCAAAATACATTGTATAAAAAACATTTTCAAGCCGGGCGATGGTGGTGCATGCCTTTAATCCCAGCACTCGGGAGGCAGAGGCAGGTGGATCTCTGTGAGTTCAATACCAGCCTGGTTTACAGAGCTAGTTCCAGGACAGGCTCCAAAGCCACAGAGAAACCCTGTCTCGAAAAACCCAAAAAAAAAAAAACACTTTCAATAAAAAAGCAATTTACTACATGATCTAGCAAGTCCACTTCTGTAAACAGGCTCAAAAGAATTAAAATCCAGGACTCAAGGAGATAGACAGATAGTCTATGGGCACAGAGAGTCACACTAGCCAAAGAAGTAAGTCAAGTCTTTCGTGAATGAGTAAGTAGACACAATAAAGCAACAGAATACTGTCAAGCCAAAAAGAGAAGGAAATGAGCCAGTCACAGAGGAACAAGTCCTATAAGACTCCACTTCCCTTACCCAGTACCTAGAAAAGCCATGTCACAGACATGAAGGTAAAGCTGGTGGCCATGGGGAGGAAGGAGGAACCGGCAGCTATTTAATAAGCATAGGATTTGAGTTCTGTAGATGTTTAAAATGTTCTGGATATGGATAGGGTGATGTGTGTACAAACTGTGAGTATTCTTTATATTAATCTCCTGTGGTATGGATTAAAATGTGGAAAACTTCTGGTACAATTGAAGCAGAACCAAAGTGTATCCCCTACCAACAGGTCAGATGAAACCAAAGTGTATTCCCTCCCAATAGGTCAGATGAAACCAAAGTGTATTCCCTCCCAATAGGTCAGATGAAACCAAAGTGTATCCCCTACCAATAGGTCAGATGAAACCAAAGTGTATCCCTCCCAATAGGTCAGATGAAACCAAAGTGTATCCCTCCCAATAGGTCAGATGAAACCAAAGTGTATTCCCTACCAATAGGTCAGATGAAACCAAAGTGTATCCCCTACCAACAGGTCAGATGAAACCAAAGTGTATCCCTCCCAATAGGTCAGATGAAACCAAAGTGTATTCCCTACCAATAGGTCAGATGAAACCAAAGTGTATCCCCTACCAACAGGTCAGATGAAACCAAAGTGTATCCCTACCAATAGGTCAGATGAAACCAAAGTGTATCCCTACCAATAGGTCAGATGAAACCAAAGTGTATTCCCTACCAACAGGTCAGATGAAACCAAAGTGTATTCCCTACCAACAGGTCAGATGAAACCAAAGTGTATCCCTACCAACAGGTCAGATGAAACCAAAGTGTATTCCCTACCAATAGGTCAGATGAAACCAAAGTGTATTCCCTACCAACAGGTCAGATGAAACCAAAGTGTATCCCTCCCAATAGGTCAGATGAAACCAAAGTGTATTCCCTACCAATAGGTCAGATGAAACCAAAGTGTATCCCCTACCAATAGGTCAGATGAAACCAAAGTGTATTCCCTCCCAATAGGTCAGATGAAACCAAAGTGTACCCCTACCAATAGGTCAGATGAAACCAAAGTGTATTCCCTACCAATAGGTCAGATGAAACCAAAGTGTATTCCCTACCAATAGGTCAGATGAAACCAAAGTGTATTCCCTACCAATAGGTCAGATGAAACCAAAGTGTATTCCCTACCAATAGGTCAGATGAAACCAAAGTGTATTCCCTACCAATAGGTCAGATGAAACCAAAGTGTATCCCCTACCAATAGGTCAGATGAAACCAAAGTGTATTCCCTACCAATAGGTCAGATGAAACCAAAGTGTATCCCCTACCAATAGGTCAGATGAAACCAAAGTGTATCCCCTACCAATAGGTCAGATGAGTTTGTTGCTTTAGAAAGACTAGACATTAAATTAATAAATTATCTCTCATGTGACAGATAGCAGAATTTTATAACTATAGAGTTTATAATCACAACTGTGTACTTTAGTGTACAGTAAAGTCATATCATATAGTGTTGGAATAGACAATATATACATTTCCATGTAGTATGTTTATGTGCATATATATACTTATTATATAACCCTTTTATGTCTAAACCAGAAATGATTTAAAATTAAAAGGTGTTATTTACTGATCAGGCCAAGTAGACATATCAGAAAATAAAAAACAAACAACCTAGCAACAACAACAGCAAAAAATCCAACTTTGCTCTCAATGTAGTTCCTTTGCTGGCTTGGGAGAAGTTGAAAAGCTGCCTTCCCTGCTGATCTAACAGGCAGAAGGCAAAGGCATGGGCTCTTACCCCGGAGTTTGAGTGCCGGCTGGCTCTTCCATGCTTTGGGCATCATTTCTCTTCTTGTCTTCAAGACAAATTGGCTGTTAATGAACTTGCAGATGCTGGAGATGCTGAAGGTGACTTGAGGGTGTATGATGGAGAAATACTCATCTATCCCAAATTTCTGGGTCAGGAGTCCAGGGACATACTTCTGAATATTCACTCCGGCTTGCTTGACCCTTAGCTATCCACAGAGGACACATGTCAGTCTGGGGATCAGAGAGCAACTTCCACCACTGGCTTTCCCTAAGATACGACGTTTGGGCTTTGCTTTGCAACTCACTGGGGAGAAGAAGGATCAGTGACGGAATAAACATAATAAAACTATCATTTTTTTTAAATGGTCAAACCTGCAGCTGATGTTGGAAGAGGAATGACATAGCATGGGGCTGCTTAGAAGCCTTTTCTGACTGCCAAGAGGCATTAAGGCTCTCAACAAGGTCAGTAGTTCCATCCTGTATTATCTCTCCCTGTCCCTCACACAACCCCTGTCCCCGGTCCATCCTGGGACTAGGGCAAGGTTTCTTTGCTTTCTCCAGAGAATGCACAGGAGGAGCACGAACTGGGGACCATGACATCACCTGCCCAATACCAGCGCAGTGTCTGGGAGCCTTTACTAACCATAGGAACTCAGGTAAGCTACAGAAATCACCTTCATGTATCATTCTGTTCCCGTTCTCCTATACCCAAAAGCTGAAAGGGAGGGGAGTATTTAGAGCAGACTGGATTGAAAGCAATGGCATGAATCATGATGTTGTAGCATTGGAAAAATGTGAGCATTCATTGGCTTATAATTCTGTTTTCCACCTATGGGTGTTTTCTTACTGCCATGATTCCATCACGTCTCTGAGGAAAGACACTACACTCAGGTGAGTATATGCATAGAGTTCATGCAAAGTAGCAATTGACATGTGATGTGCATTTGAATTTCAACAAACACTAGAGGAAATCATATTGGCTGACCATCTTAACAGATATTTGGGACTAAATTCATTTAGCATACATGCCCTTTAAATGAATAGAAAAAAGAAATCAACTCAGTTCACATGTCTGTATCATCTGTGTCTACAGCTGTTTTGGTTTTGAGGTGTTATCTTTCAATATGCAGCCCAGGCTGACCTTGAACTTAACTCTTGCCTCAGCCTCCTGAGTGCTGTGATTATAGACGTTTGCCATCAAATCCAAGCTCCAGATGAAAGGTTATTTTATCCTGGGAAACTGAGAGCCACCAAATTTAAATGGCTATGCCCACAGCCCCACAGAACACGACAGGGAGCACTACTAAGAATGAGCACCATGGGAGGGAGATTAAGAATCAGTTGTGCTCATGGGGGTGGGGGCAGGTCATGTTTATGACCATGGCATAGGGTGAGATGCCTCTTTCTGGAGTGAATTTTAAGGTCTTCCTTCAGCCTTCCTTTCTGATCATAAACTTTCCCATTTATTCACTGGTTCTACTTTCTTGTTCTATTGACCCGAGGAAGATCATACATTTCTAAAGCTTCTAGAACATGACATGAAGTCAATGGCCCCTCCAGGGCAAAGTCTAGTCTCTAAAGCCACGTGAACCCGGGGATCTAAGTCCTTACAGTGAATTGAGCTCCCTATCCCTGGTTTAGCCCCAAACCCAAGCTTCTGAAAGAAAGGAGCTCTTACTGCTTCGTCAAAAACAAGGTGGAAAGGAAAAACACTGCAGAACACCTCCTCTTCAACCCACAGTCTCTCGGGATAGACAGGCTGGAAGGTGTTCCCGAGGGGCCCTAGACACACAGAGAGAAAAAGCCATGGTGAGAGGCCCTTGTGGAGCCACTTGGACAGGGTTAGAATCTTAAGTGTGTCCCAAGAAAAGTGTGATTCCCACTCCTTTGCACAGGCTCCCTCAGCATATCCAGATGGCCACCGCAATTATTCCTCCAAATTAAAACAAACAGAAAATTTGCGACCAGGTTGAGAAGCCCTCCTGCCCCCTGCCAAGTTTCTGCCCACTGCTGAAGAGTTAGTTTCTGGGCCAATTGAGTATGTCTCGCCATGAAAACAGAACTGGCATTGAAATGGTGACAAGCGGACAATGAGCCAGGAGAGGAGTGAGTATGTGCCCGGCCCAGCATCGGGGACATTTGCCATGGAGCTTTTCAGACTGACAGTTTAGGGTGGCACGTGAAAATTTAACCAACAGTCCTATTTGGCAGGGGGTGCAGATTCTCAATGGAGCCTTTTTGATATGAAAATCTCCCAGACAAAGGATGCCAACTGTGTTTGCCACAGCTTGAAGGACTCAGAATGCAGCTCTTTGAGCCCCACAGACCCTCCCCCAGATGCCTGTCATTTGACCTACCGGGCCATGACAAGGAGCATCTAGCTCCCTTCTTCTGCTGGGTCAGAGCTCTGATTGCGACTTGAGTGTCAGGTGCCGGGGGACAGACTCGTGCAGCGCCCAAAGACCCAATATGTCGAGCTTACCACCTTCACCTTGTGAATGGAAGGCTGGACAACACTGTCCCACGTCATAGCTCCTCAGAGACAGGCATGGGCTTTCTTGGTTCTTGCCTTCTGTCCTTCGAACTGCTGGCTGGCTGTGGTTAGTCACAGATTTCCAGTCCAGAAACACACTCCAATTAAGAAGGCCTGGGTCCAGAAGAGAGGCAGAATTCACTGTGCCCAGGATATCTGTGCCCTGCTTCCTCTTCCACTGAGCCCATACTAGTGGCTTTCCTATTCCAGAGACGATGGTGTCTCCATGCGGACCAGCACAAACAAAAGAGCTGTTGTATGGCAAGTTGGAAGCTGATTTTAAAAGTTAAAAACCACAGATGCCAAATCCAAGCTCCAAGGGAATCGGAGGCCTTGAAATAATAGAGCGTTTTGCCCTCTTTGCATAAGGGGGCTCTCCTGCAAATGTGGCCGTTCTGATCTAAGAGGCCAAGAGAACAGCACACTTACCATTTCCAGACATGACTGATGCCCTCACATCCCAGTGAGGTTTCTCCCCAGGGCAAACAGCGCTGTTCAAAACTTTCTCCTTCTTCCTAAGGAGCCTTGTCTTGAGAGCCTGAAGGGGGCAGGAGGGAAGCTCAGGCACCAGGTTGCAGGGCATGAACAAGCCTTGCCTGTTGCTGCTGGCCCCATCTTTGGGTACTGAAGAAGGCTGGTGGCTGGAGGGACAGTGTGAGGGCTCGCAAGATCAGTTCTGTCAAGAGCCTGAGGCTCCAAGGGCATGAACAAGCCTTGCCTGTTGCTGCTGGCCCCATCTTTGGGTACTGAAGAAGGCTGGTGGCTGGAGGGACAGTGTGAGGGCTCGCAAGATCAGTTCTGTCAAGAGCCTGAGGCTCCAAGGTGTACTTGCTGGTGACTCCTCAAGTCATTTCTCTATCACAGGAAGCCAGATTTTTTTTTAAAAAAAACAAGGTCTGTGGGAAATGCTTAGAGGGTCATGGCTTTCTAAGTGTCGCTCTGAGACGATGTCCCAGGGTGAAATACAAACTTTGGCAAAAGCAAGTATGGAAGGATGCTCACCACAAACCGCTTTTACAATAGCAAAAGGTTCGTAGCAACTGAATAGTTGCTATCTAACTATGATAAGTAGTTATCTAGGCGGCTAGATAACTATAATTTCCCAGGGGAAGATGTCCACACACAAAATGAGCAGCAGGAAATGACTCTCCCTAGGCAATGGGCGCGTGGGTCTTGGTGGACTGTGAGCTGATCACACACGACACAGAACCCTCCTCTAGGTTGGTGAGTCTCAGCTTGGGCCAAGGGAGTGTGCAGAGGGTTTGTGAACTCTTTACTGGTTCAGACTGTTGATACTTTTAAAACTGACTGGGCCCAATAACGATCATCTCAGCCTCCATCCAGTTCCCACCATAAGACCTATGAGGCAGGCAGTGTGCTGGTACTCCTCCCGTGGACCCTTCCCCCATTGCCAGAGCTCTTTCTCCTGTTTCCCTAATACATCTGTGTTCATTCTGATTACCCCTTATCCCCACTTCCTTCTTCTTGGACGTGAGACAACAAACTCAGAAGCTATTGGCTCATCGGTGGCTGTCATTTGTCGGACACCCTAGAACCTGAGGCAAGCTCACCAAGAATGGAGACAGTCCCCATTACTTTCAAAGAGCCCATAGCACTCACTCTTCCTGATGTTGGGTGATTATTTTTTTAAGGTGTGCTGCTTTTGTTTATGCTCCATTTGTTTAACTCTGTGAAGCTGTGATCCTTTGCCTGTCTAAAACACCTGACGTTCCTAATAAAGAGCTGAATGGCCAATAGCGAGGCAGGAGCAAGGATAGGCAAGGCTGGCAGGCAGAGAGGATAAATAGGATAAACAAGGATGAGGAGGCTCATGAGAACAAGGAAAGGAAGATGTAAGGGGTCAGCCACTCAGCTACACAGCAAGCCATGGAGAAAGACGTAGAAAAAGGTATACAGAAATAGGGAAAGATAAAAAGCCCAGAAGCAAAAGATAGTTGGCATAACTTAAGTCAAGAAAAACTGGAAAGAAGCAAGCCAAGGTAAGGCTGGGCATTCGTAACTAAGAATAGCCTCTGTGAGTGATTTATTTAAGAGCTGGGTGCAGGCCTCGCCCCCTACCTGCCCCACCAAAAGCCAAAAGAATAAAAGAATAAAACATCACACAGCACCTGTGGTTGAAAACTCTTCTGTGAGTGGACCCTGAGCATGTTCTAAGACGTAACCCCCAGGCTCCAGGAATCATAGTCCTATCTGTGTGTTTGAATAGACTACGTGGATACGGAGAGATCTTAACACATGTGGCATCTAAACTGGCAATGCTCACCTTCCATGCTGCAGCTGAGGTGGTCAAGGATGGCTCTTAACTGCACAGTGGACCTGTAACTGGTTCCACCTGCTGATAGGTACTGAGGACCTGATGGGTCTGCTCATTGCAAGCAGATTGCAGAAGAAGATACCAAATTCCAACTCCAAATCCTTTACCTTGATTTGTCATTGAGGCTTTAAGAGAGGGTTCTTGTTCTTCATCCCAGACTGGCCTCAAACTCATAGCAATCCTCCTGTCTCAGCATCCCATTATAGGTATAAACTATACCTATACCCAACTTTGACATTTTTACATGTGAACACTTGACAGGCTAAGGTTCATCCTAGAAAGTCTGTATTAAGTTACCCTTGACTTTGCGGTTCTCAGCTAGAAGTGAGTTTTACCCCCACCTCTGGTCTGTGGACATTGGCAATGCCTGGAAGCAACTTTGATTGCCACAACTAAGGGACAGGGTTCTAGTCACGCTGGATAGATAGATGTCTGTGAGGGGGCGGAGGATCCTACAAAGCACAGCCCATCACAACTCAGAATAATCTGGTCCATGGTATCAATCAAGTCAGGCTTGGGACAGCTTGCCTTGAATTCCACTGCCCAAGGCCCACTCATTTGTGTTGTTTGCACAGACTGTTCCAGAACAAGCAGCCCATCCTGGGGAAACTATGCTCTCTAAAGACAACAGTGGATCGGTACCTCTTGCTTTGTGTCGATGTCCTCACCGTCCTGTGACCTGTTTGCTTTTGCGGTTCTTGTCTGTCTGTGAGCCTTTTGCACAACCAGAAACACAACATGTTCCTTTTTCCCAGTCCTCTCCACCTCTTCATTCATGTCAAGGATACTCATGGCCACATCAGTGTCAAAAAAGTCCTTGGCCACAGCTTCAATGATGCCTGCCAAAAAATGACACCTGTGGGTGAGGGATGGCAGAAGGCAACACACTACCAGGCACCACTAACTTTTCCAGTTGTGCAACTCTGTGGGTTTTCTTTAGTTCACTATGTCTGTGTCTCGCCTCAAGGTAGACATCCTATAATGGCTCAGAGGGAAGCATATAAAGGGATTTAAGTTTTGAAAGTCTGAATACTAATTATGTCCCTGTCGTTTAAATTTCTGCTTCAACATCTATTCATGCTTTTATTCCAGAAAGGCGCCTAACCCACTAGACAAACTCTGTAAAGGGAAACAAAATTCCATTGGAAATGAGTTAAAGCTCATGTGTTCAGAACTATTGTTCTGGGGATCCATCTAGGGGTGAAATATAAAATATGAAGAAAGCATCACAGTGCCTACATTAGCAAGGGATGAGCAGCAACTCCACATGCAGTGATAGGAGAGTTAAAGGGAGCGTGGCATGAAATACCCACTTGCCTATACAGGGTTTCAGGGCAGGAGATGTATCTCCACAGAGGAATATGTGTACTTAGAATGCAGGATGCATTGGGTTCGAAGTACAGACTAAAACCAAGACTTTTCTACAATGCTGAATTCTTTTAAAGAGTCAATAGATACAACAATCTCCACAGAATTATCATAGCTATGCAAACAACAGCAGTGTGTTAAAGATCCTGTCTTCTGGTGTTCTGGAATTATTGTAAAAGTCTCCAGATCCTTAAGATCATGGCAAAGAAGCCGGTCACTCTAGGAGATGGTGTGCCCTCCTCACAGCGGGTGTATGGCCACCCTAGAGGGTGCTGGCATGGGCTGATCCATTTCCTACCTGGTACAATGTGGCACAGGCCATTTCTGTCCGAGTAGTAATGGAGAAGCATTGCCCCGTCAACTCCTCCCTCTACGCGAAAGGATGGAGCATTCATTTCCTAGTGAACAGACACAGCACATTTTCCCAGCAGGGAAAACACGTTGTTTATATTAAGGCCCATAGTATATTTTTATTTTTCTAGGTTAATATACAAAATAATGAGTTTAACCACAGCATCTTTATATATCATGTTTTATTCTTATTCCGTCCACTCCCAGACTGGCCCTACACCTCTTCCAGCAGGCTCTCTTTCTTCTTCACTTTATACCCATGGGCTTAATTCTCAGATGTATCCCATCACCTCTCCTTCCCACCTCTCTTAAAATCTCTCGTTCCTCTCATGATCCCCTTTCTGTTCTGTAATGCTAACACAATACACATTAACATATATGCATTAACATACACATATATGTATATTTGCACACACATAATTTAAAAAATACTTGAGTTACTTATTTTTACTTGACATGTATAAGTGTTTTGCCTGCATGTGTATGTGTGTGCTTGGTGCCTGTGGAGGCCAGAGAGGGTCTTGGATCCTCTGGAACTGGTGTTGCTGTAAGCTGTCATGTAAGTACAGGGAAACGAGCCCAGGTCCTCTGAAGAACAGTAAGCTTCTTTAATCACTATGACATCACTTTAACCCCTCCTTGTAAATTTTATTTTTGAGATAGGGTCTCTCTATGTAATCATAACTAGTCTAGAATTCACTATATAGACCGGGCTGACCTCAAACTAACAGAAATCCACCCCCCCCTCTTCCTCTCAAATGCTGAGATTAAAGGAGCACACCACCACACATGGCCTGCACATACATGACTTTAAATCCAGGATTACCTATGGGAGAAAACACATAGTATTTGTCTTTCTGAGTCTGGCTTCTTTCACTTAATGTAATCACTTCCGGTTGCATCCATTTTCCTGAAAATGTCATGATTTTATTTTTCTATATAGCTGCAAAAAACTCAGTTGTGTATGCATATCGTATTTCCTTTGTCCATTGATGGGCATCTAGGCTGGTTCCATGTCCTGACTGTTCGTGTAGTTCAGCAATAAACATGGATATATAAGCATCTCTCTAGCCGACTTAGAGCCCTTGGGTATATGCCCAAGAATGGTATAACTGTCTCAGAAGCCATGATTGTGTGAAGCAATAGTATGCAGCCATTATTAGCACACAGAGAACTACAATAGTGTTTACCCTTTACTATACACATAAAAGTACAACAGTGTTTATAATAGATAAATAATAATTCGCACACACAGATCGACAATAATATGCATACATCACCACCACTTCAGCTCCTGTTGAGGAAGCTTATCCCGAGTCTCTCTCCCTAAAGTATTGCATTTGGCAATAGTTCCCTCACCCAGGGAACTTATGAAGGAGATTAATGAGAGAACCATGGCTAAGCCTCCATGATCCCTGGCACCACGCCATGCTGCTCCTGTACACCCCCAAGGGTTATCTGTCGCCGTGCTTGGCCTGTGACCAAGCCACGCGAGCATTTTCATTTGGGAAAATGAGCTGCTCAGAGACCTCACAACTAGAAATAATCAACTCGTTTTTGTTCCAAAGGCTGGTTCCACTTGAAAACTAGAACCCTCAAGAATATACAGAAAGAAACATTATTTGTCCAGAAATAATTGTAGACCCTTCAGCATGGCCCTCTTATGATAGGCTAGGAAAAGGTCACTGGGAGGTTCTCTGAAGGAGTGGACGGGGAGGGGGTCCCCTACTGCTTGTTCAGCCACAATTCAGGACCCAAGACACTGGACTTTGGTCTAAACTAGGGGAGAAGACTAGTGTCCTTCACGGTGCAGGGCTGCTTGAGAAAATGGGTTTCTTCTTGAATTTCATATACTTGTTTTATATTTCTAAAAGTTTATTAGTGTTGGTAGAATATCAGTTTCCTCCCGTACTGAAATATTCTGTCCTTCAGGGAAGCTTTTTAAGCCATCAGGTAAACAACTCAAAACGGCTTCAGGAAGTTCCCGAAATTGACCGGACTCACTAGGCTTCTTCCTCGCAGAGTAAGCAATAAAGATGGCTGAGGATCCCCCTCAGACAAGTCATGCTACAGAGAAGACCCTGGGACTCAACCAGCTGCCTGGAAGATGTTTAGAATCATTCAGTCACTTGGCAGGGGCATGATCCAACTCTTGAGCTTGCTGTCGTCTGTGTTGCTTGTTCCAGGTTCCCAGCTCTTGTAAACTGTCACCGGAGCTGGGGTGAGCTTTTGGTGTGAGCTAATGCAGGTGTCTGGGAGACATTTCAGTTCCTGTAAGTAACCCCTCACCCATATTCCAGTAAGTAATCCCAATAAAACTCATTGGTTCTTCAAGTTGGACTTGGGTTGTTTTCATGCTCTGGTCTGTCATGGACTCCCAATCTAAATATCTTGCATCTCCCCAGGAAAGGTCTTGTCACCCAACAACAGAGTATGTATGAATATGTGTTTATATCTCTATTTGAGTGGTATGTGTGGTGTATGTGTGTATATGCACACGTGGGGTTAGGAAGATAGGGTCTAACTATTCGCACCCTGCTGGGTGTACTTTGGTGAAGAAATTTGACCGCAGCTGCCCTGTAAGTTCTTATGATGTTGGAACTGTCTATGCTGACCAGAGTGAAGGAAGTGCAAAGAGAAGCAATTGTTCACAAAATGCCTTCCTTGGGTTTACTCCAATATTATAGACCTTTGTATTGCCTCTTTCAATCCACACATCACCATGAGGTGGGTTATTTGGTTCCTTATTTTTTCTGTGTCAAATGTCTTTTTTTTAATTTTATTTATTTATTTATTAAAGATTTCTGCCTCCTCCCCGCCACCGCCTCCCATTTCCCTCCCCCTCCCCCGATCAAGTCCTTCTCCCTCATCAGCTCGAAGAGCAATCAGGGTTCCCTGACGTGTGGGAAGTCCAAGGACCACCCACCTCCATCCGGGTCTAGTAAGGTGAGCATCCAAACTGCCTAGGCTCCCCCAAAGCCAGTAAACTCAGGCCCTCACACTTTCAAAGTAAGGGGTTTTTTTTTCCCCATTGAGTCATCCTGACAGCTCCTAGTTACGGCATGCCTACTGTGTATGAAGCACTCTTAAAAAAGGCATTTTCCTCATACTTGGTTGCCTTGACCAGTCTTGATATGAGAGGTTGTGCCCGTTTTATTGTAACTTGTTATGCCATGTTCAGTGGATATCCTTGGGAGGCCTGCTCTTTTCTGAAGGGAAATGGAGGAGTGGACCTGGGGGAGAGGGGAGGTGAGAGAGAGATCTGGGAGGAGTACAAGGAAGGGAAACTGATCAGAATGTAATGTTATGAGAAAAGAATAAATAAAACAAACTGTTTTATATAGGCTAATAAACTATTATTTATGCTATGAATGAACACTACATCTTTACAATAAAGCATCTTGATGAAAATCTAAACATTTGAGTTTTCAATAAACTCTCCCAGGGACACCAGCAAGGCATGGACTCCAGGAGGACATATCCCACTTGGGAATGTAGTTTCCTAACACCTTAGTCCGTCACCCCAAGGGGTTAATCAGGGTTGGATGGCTCCCAGCTCTGGTTCCTGGCCCTGCCAAGCTTTTCCCTCCGATACTTGCACAGGCCTAATCTGGTTGCCCAAGCTATTATCAGCTCTACCCAGGCCAAGAGACCTGAAGAGAGATTGGAAAATCCACCCCAACCTGTTTTCCAGCCTTTGCTCCCACTGTGCTTGATTATCAGATTCGTTCCAAGTCTGGGTCCAACCTTCAGAAGTTACCCCCTCCCACAACCACCCTAAGGCTAGAACTCTGACTTCTCGCCAACCATTTATAAAGGAAGCCACTGGGTAGTCATCCTCCTTTCTATCCTCTAAGAGAGCCCACTGATGCCAGAGGCCACGGATTGTGCAGCTCCTCAACTGGCAACACTTTCTCTCTCTCTCTCTCTCTCTCTCTCTCTCTCTCTCTCTCTCTCCCCCTCCCTCCCTCCCTCCGCCCCCCCCCCCCACCTCTCAGGACCACCAAGGCAAAGCCCAGATGACCTTACCTGATAAGACAGTGCCAGGTAACTGTGAAGGGCATCTAGGTTTTCAATAAACTCGGTGAGATTTCCTCCCAGGGTCCGCAGCATCCTGTCATAGCCAGACACCTTACAGAACTTGAAGAAGTATTCTCCAAAGAGTTTCAGAATGGCTTCTATGGATACATCTGTGGAATACATACCCCAGTAAGGTCCTGAGGTGGGGTTATCCCTTCGGTAGTCTTTATCCAGATCCAGAGTGCTCAAATCCTGCTGCTGGGAGACTCATGTCTAATCCTTCACCTTCCTCATCAGTGACACATCTGGAATCACCTTAAGGCATCGTAAAGAGCCAGGAGCAGCCCTGGTTCACTATGAACCCCTCCCAAACTCCCTCACTCTCTTCTGTAACAGCTAAGAAAGATATTTCCCAGGGGTTCGAGCGAGATCTGTCGAGCTAGTGTTCTCCCTTGAGCACTGATCTTGTGCCCGGATCCAGGTTAACTTAGGGCAGGGTAGAGCACGGCCGCCCCCCCCCCATCTCGCCCACCACCTTGTGCACCTTCAAACAACAGCCTGCTGCAGAACTGAAGGCTGACTCTGAGCTAACACGGAAATGCAAAACGAATTTGCCCAAAATGAGAGCAAATACCTGTGACTTCGACTCCTCTCTCTCTCTCAGCTTCCCCAGGTCTCTGTCTCCCTTCAGGGTTGTTCTCAGATGAAATTCTCCATAGCCATTTCCCTGCCAGTCTTGCGGCCACCCCAACTATGCTCTCCCGGCATACTGCACTTCCAGCTTCCTAACTAACAGGCAATTCTCATGGGCAGCAACTGAGTCCTACTTATTTTCTTTAGCTAGATACAAAGTAAATGATGATGAATTCCTGAGTTATCTACAATCAAAGATGGGGGCAGGACCCCGTGTCTCCCCATTTCTCATCTGTATGGTGGGGACAGCGAGCAATTTTCAAGTGTAGTCTGGAGTTCCTGCAATGTTCGGTAGTCAGTTACTCTCAGAGCACGCTAGGATATTGGAAATAGATGATCCTGTTATCATGTCCCGCTTTGTCCAGGAGGGCAATGGAAGCAAGTTAGAGGACAGATTTGCTGCCATGTCTCTGACTATTCCATGTCCTCTGGACCACACCCCACAGCCAAACAAGGTGAAGGCTGCTCTCACTGTCATCGTGGACACAGGGCGTAGACCTCACTGCTGTGCCAGCCTGGAGCATCCTGAGACCATTCTCTTATGTAGGGTCGAGTTCTGACTTGTGAAAGTCCCTGGAACTCCTATCAGAGTCACAGCTCCCGAAGGCATCCTTAGAAGCTGCTTCTCCTGATGGAGCTACCATCACAGTGAGAAGCTCACCGCCCTCAGAGCACTTCAGTGCAGAACACTCCAGAGTGGCAGGCATGCAAAGTGGTCCTTACTTCCCAGGCCCTGCTCACTGAAGATCGTCTGGACAGTGAGGTCTTGTGGTACAAGCTTGTGCATAGCTATAAGATACTCAGGAGGCTGAGGCAGGAGGATCATAAACTTTTGGCATGTCTGGGCTACAGAGTCACTTCAACGCTAGCCTGGACAACCTTGGGAGATCCTGTCTCAAAGTGGAAAATAAAAAGAAGGATGGAGATATAGCTCAGTGGTAGGGGCTCTCTTAACACACATGAGTCCATAGACTCAATTCTTAACAACATGTGCATGTGTGAGTGAACACACACACATACACACACATACACCACAACAGGTTCCTTACAGCTCTCTGTTTATAGCCAGACCTCTAGGAAGATAATTCTTATGGAATCTGAGCTTACACAAATAAATCAAACATAGTTTGCCAAAACTACTAGTCAGTTCTTCTGAGTCTAGACAATGGTCCGGATAGGAGGGTGGGAGAGAACCATGGCCTGTGTAAATTGTCTCTTTTGTCCCTCCTAGCTGACAACAGGCTAGTCTGTGCCAGAATTCAGGAGCCACTGCTCAGTCCTAAGTGAACTGAAGTAGGTTCTATTTAGGTCTTTCCTGACCCGAGAAGCTTGCAGACAGGTGTGTAACTGCCACTTTCCACTCTGCCCTACCCCTCCCTGCTGCGTGAATCCAGCCCATTCAGGCTAAGTCGAAACAGCTGTGCTGTGCAGCCGTAGCCTGAGCCCTGTGCAGGTGCATCCTGTTACCTGCCAGGAAACCTGCAGGGCTCCCTTCTCCCGGGGGAACCTCTGTCTGACTTGACTTACAACTGAAAACCTGGGGGAGGAGGAATCCACAGTATTGGCTGTTTCAGCCCCTGTTGCTTTGTCTCTGGGTACCCAGAACTGTCAACAGAAAAGTCCCCCCCCATCCGCGGTTAACTTCCTTAGACCGCAATGTGGGCTTAGGTGGGGAGCTGCCATCTGTGCTGGCCTTGAGCCGCTCCTGGGACTCTTCGTGCAGAACGCCTTCCTGAGAGGGGACAAAGGTTCCTTTTCAGATCAGCAGCTGTCTTACTTTTTAATTCAGTTCCACCTCTGTGAATTTAGGATTCCGAGAGCCCTCTGATTCCCAGGAGACCAGGGCCATATGGAAAAAGGAGGTAAAGGGAAGAGAGCCCAAAACCCAAGTCGGCTTTAAAATGTTATTTGGTAGTGGGAAGAACGATTTCTAGTATGTGAACTTTTGCATCTTTTGTCCAGAAGAGGGAACTGAAAAGCGAAGCATCTTCTCTGTTTATCTGACAAATTAAACACCAGCAGTATAAACCAGGGACTTTTGACTGGGTTCCTAAGGGACATTGGTGGGAATGGGGTGGAGAGAAAAGTCGTGAAGGGTCGGGGGTTAGCACTTCCTGAAGCAGACCTCCGTGCACAGCTTCAGCCTCATGAATCATGTTCCTGACTCATGTGCTTAGGTTGACTAAGTAAGGCAAGGATAAAGGAGAGCTCTGAGACAGAAAACCAAACCAAATCAACATTCGGGAAAGAATCTCAGCTCTTCAGGGGACTGAGGCAGGAGAATCACCAGTTCAGGGTTCAACTGGACTGCATAGCTAGTTCAAAGCCACCCTAGGCCACTTAGCAAGACGTTGTCACAAAATAAAAAATAAAGACAGGGCTGGGTACATGACTCAGTAATAGAGAACTTGCCTAACAAGTGAGATGAACTAGACACAATCCCTAAAACAAGGAGAGAAAGACATCACACACACACACACACACACACACACACACACACACGACAGAGGGAGAAGGGGAGAGGTGTGGACATACACAAAGAAAGAAACAAAGAAGTCATCAGAATAATGTTTCAACAGAAAAATTTGGATAGTATAATTACTCAGGAAAAAAATTTCACCTATCTGGGCAGAGAGATGGTTCAGTGGTTAAGAGCATGTACTGCTCTTGAAGATGACCTGAGTTCAGTTGCTAGTACCTATGCCACATGGCTCAGAACCAGCTTTAAGGGATCTGATGGCTCTTCTGGCCTCTTAGGCACCAGCACTCACATGCATATTCAAACACAGGCATAAATATGATTTTTAATATCATTTTTAATCCTTAAAATCCAATAACATTTAAGCATAACCTTTCGACTTCTTTGTTCAAAAGTTAAAGACAGAACTCTGAGCAACTGTCTGGCTGTAATCTGAAGGCCTTGCTATCACATCAATGTGTCAACAATTTTGAACGTACTTTCTAAACATTTAAAACTGCACACATAAGCAAAGGCATTGACAATAAATAAAGCCAGGTTTCTCACAATCTAACAATGAAGCATGAATAATAAAAATTCAAATACAGATATTGGGGTACAAGCTAAAGATCAGAAAAGCAAAGCAGCCAGCCACTAAAGAGACCTTTGACCTCTACCAAATCTTCAGACTGAAAGGGTGAGATCCTATCTTCACAAATCCTCAGACTCCACACTCCACTGACTTCCTGTCTTTCCCCTTTATATTCCTCTCTCTGCCCAGCCATGTCACTCCTGTCTCTACCTCCCTAGTTCTGGGATTAAAGGTGTGGGATCCCAAGTGCTGGGATCACCTTTGTGTGAGCTCTGTTTCTCTTTTAGACAGATTCAATCTCATGTAGCCCAGGTTGGCTTTGAACTCACAGAGATCCCCCTGCCTCTGTCTCCCGAGTCCTGGGATTAAAGGTGTGTCCCACCACTCGCTGGCCTGTATGGCTGACTAGTATGGCTGCTTTGTCGTCTTATCTTCAGGCAAGCTTTATTTATTAAAACACAAATAATATACCACTATGTAAGAAGAAGTCTACAACTACAGAAAAAGGAAGAAAAGAATGAATATTGTGTGGTTGGATGAGACAAATCTGCCATAGAAATGGGCTGGAGAGGCTCTATTAGTAAACATGAGACCCAAGTTCTGATGGCAGCACCCATGTGAAAAGGAGGGTGTGGTCCTATGTGTGCTTGTAGCCCTAGCACTGTGCAGGGCAGAGACAGGAGTCACTGGGGCTTACTGGCCACCAGTCTGGCTCCAGGTTCACTGGGCAATACTGTCTTAAAAAGAAGAAAGCACAGGGTAGGCAAGACAGCCCAGTGGGCAAAGGTGCTTGTCAACAACCTGATCATCTGAGTTTGGTCAGGACTCCATTGTGGAAGAAAAATACAGACTCCTCAAAGTTGTCCTCTGACACATGCTTACAAGCCATGGCAGGGTCGCACACACAATATAAATAAATTGTTGTAAAACATTAAGAATACACACAAAAAGACAGAATGATAAAGCAGGACACTCTCACATACAATGCACACACATATATCACACTCATACAGACACAAACATATGCCATAAGACCATGAAACCCAGCGTCGGATATAGAAAACTAGACATTTGAGGTTAGATAATGGCTGAATAGAGAGAGAGGGGATTGGTAGATAGGTAGGTAGATAGGTAGGTAGGTAGGTAGGTAGGTAGATGATGGATGGATGGATAGATAGGTAGATAGATGAATGGATGGGTGGATGGATAGATAGATAGATAGATAGATAGATAGATAGATAGATAGACAGACAGACAGATGGTAGACAGTATGTACGTGTCTGCCCACTGAGGAGGCCTAACAGAGGTCAGTCTTGGTAAGAGCACTGAGCTAAACAGAACCAGAGCTTCTTTGAGAAACAGAACATTCCCGGGCTGGAACAAGGAAAGGAAAGAACAAATTGAACTTGTCATGCAAGAAAATAAAG